ACTTCAATATTGATTTTTCTTATGGTATTACATTCGCTTAATCTGGGACGTGGCGCCGGCATATACAATTTAAAAATCAAGATTGGATTTTTGTCTAAAAGATTGGACCTAGGAATTATTTTGAGGAAGTTCTGTGACCTGTGTTGTATAGGAGGTCAGAGAGGTGATCACAATGGTCCCTTCTGGCCTTGGAATATATGAATAATTGCAGGTGAACATCAGCAGGTTCAAACCAAATCCACTGATTTTGGTTCACCAAAGCTGTGAGAAATTAAACCTGTGCATCCCATGCAACCATAGATGTGACAACAGTAAAAATATTTGCTTAAATTTGCTGAAAGATGGAGTTTCCACCATTTCCACAAGGAATTAATTCCACAGACTAATCGAGTGTACATTATCAGTATACACATATCAGAATTACATGATATTTACAGGCTACATTTCCTTATTTAAATTTAATCCTATTACACCTCATTGAAGCTACTTTTATTATGTGAATTATTTTCTCTTTTTTTGCTGTAGATTATATTTGCCTTAATCAGTGTTTAGCTAAATTATAGTTAATTAACTCCTTTCTTTTGTCCTTGCAAATCGGTCCCTCAAGAGTCCCCTCAAAATTTCTGTTGCCCTTCTTTGAACTCACTTCAGTTTTCAGTATCTTTCTGGTAATGAGGGACCTGGCTCTGAATGCAGTATCCCAGGTGCAGTCACAGCAGAGATATATTGAGAAGGGACTACTATCTCCTTGCTCTCCAATATGACACCTCAGGGTATCTAGCCCAAAATTACATTGCCCTTTTTAATGCCATAATATATTGCAAATTTATGTATAATTTGCTGTCCACTCTCACCCTTAAATCCCTTTCGGGATTACCAGTTACACTGCTCTAAAACATTAGTAACATTCCTGCCAAAGAGATTACAGTAACCTTTTCACAGAGAGTGAGCAAAGACTGTGTTATCAGACCTTCATAAACTTTATGGCAAGTTCCTTGATTTGGAGAAGTGGCTGCAATGGTCTGTTGTATGAAATAATTTGTTAAATTGTAAATCTGTCCATACACTTTGTAAATTATTTGGGATCCTCCTGAATGATGTTTCAATGGCCAAAAATAAAAAGCACTATCAATATAATTTGCTCTTTCGATTGGCTGGACAGAGTTTCTCAAGAACTTGGTGCAGAGATGATTCTAGGGACAAAATATCCAACCCAAACCTGATACCAACAATCTACTTCCTAAAAATATACATGCAGGGTGTTCAGTATCCAAATAAATGACACATGGCTGTAGCTTATACCAGATATTGCCTTTGCATTCAGCTGCCATACTAGGGTGAATAGAGAAACAATACACGGGGAGTGAAAATAAAGCAAATCAATGAATAGAAAATAAAACACTTCTAAATTGCCCTTGACTTTCTCACAAATGCTGTTTTTCAGCTTTATCAGCCTCCTATTTGGGGTTCTGTTAAACATCTACAACCATGTGGCATTTTTTACATGGAGAAAGGTGGGGAGAAGAACTTTGATGAATGCTAAAAATCTGGATTTAGCTTGTTTTGGTATGTTTCATCTGATTTCACGTGTAAAGGACAACAGATCCCTGAATAATTAGTATTTCTGAGATTCTTAACTGCAGTGACTGTAACCAGAAGAATGACAATAACAAACTATATGCAGTGTAGCTGTAGCCGTGTCCATCCCGGGATATTAGAGAGATAAGGTGGGTGAGGTAATATCTTTTCTTGGACCAACTTCTGTTGATGAGAGAGAGACAAGCTTTTGAGATCTCTGTGTGGCTCAAAGCTTGTCTCTCTCACCAACAGAAGTTGGTCCAAGAAAAGATATTACCTCACTCACCTTGTCTCTCTAATAACAATCTGCACACTTGACTCTGCTTGAATGACCAGATTCTAATAACACTCTCTCTAAAAATATAATGCTCCTGTACCTTTGGTCCCACGCAGTCAAAATTATTTTATCATTAGATGGCCTCTCTGGACCTCCCTCCACCCCATTTATACACTACTGGTTTTTCATCTCTGACTAACTGCATGCTAATGTCAGGCAGCTGAGTAATCCTTTTGCTTTGTGTGATTTCCTATGTGCATTCCCCCTTTGGAATAAAAGGAAATGCCTGGGCTAAACCTACTGCATCAGATTTGAAAAGAAGGACTTCCCTCTAGCTGAGACAGGCTGAATACTGAGTGAGCCACTGGGAGACTTCCTTTGAATTCCCTAATTGGGTAGGTTTGTTATCTCTTGCTGCCCATCAGCTGACTAACAGTTAAAACCGGTAAAGGCCATGGAGCCACCTGGCTTAGTGAGGAATAGAAAAATGCTGGTTTGCGTTGTCTGAAGAGGATGGCTTGGCAATGGAGTTTTCTTTTCACTTTAAAGTTTTGTTAATTCTACAAATGCCCATGGTGTAGAATTTATAGTGAGGGTGGGGTGTATCTTCATTCTGAAATTTACCATTGTAAGGGGACTGTTGGTCCCTTACTGACACTCAGTGGGGGTTTTTTGGTTGGCCACCTCCCAGTACCAGAAGAAAGGGGAAAGGCCAGTGAGAAATCAGACTAACAGTTCTCAGGGCCAATGGGGAGAGGCCAACATTCTAGGTCAGCCTGACTGACAGAGCAGGCAGGCCAATGAAGGAGTCAGAGGTTGGGGGTCCCGTCCTCTGTGTGAGCTGGAGCTGCCTAGGCCAGAGCGGGGCTGAGGTAAGGCGAGAGCAGGAGGCTGAGCTGAGCCGAGCCGGGGAGCAGCCCAGAGAGCCGAGCTGGAGGCAGGTGCGCTGAGCAGCTGGGCAAAGTGAGGGGGTTGCTGGGCAAAGGGCCCAGCGCCAGGAGACACCCCCAGCCAAGAGGCCTTGCAGGCCGAACTTGAAGGGGGTTCATAACCCTGATGGGGGGAGGGATAGCTGAGGGGTTTGAGCATTGGCCTGCTAAACCCAGGGTTGTGAGTTCCATCCTTGAGGGGGCCACTTAGGAATCTGGGGCAAAAATCTGTCTGGGGATTGGTCCCCCTTTGAGCAGGGGGTTGGACTAGATGACCTCCTGAGGTCCCTTCCAACCCGGATATTCTATGAGTCTAGTTGTTACAGAGGAGGGGCAATACTGGGGAGAAAGGCCCTGCTATCTAGTGCCTGAGGGCATATGGCCATCGCCAGAGCAAGTGTCTGACCTGCAGCACTGCCAGGGCCTGGGACATGTGAGGAACAGACTGTGAACTGCCCTGACATTCCAGAGTCGGCTGTTTGTGGTGTCCCCGTGCCGGGGTGATGTGTTTTCCTTTAAGCTTTCCCATTTTTTCCTTAGTTTTTTTAATTGGTTTCTGTTTAATAAATTGCATTTGCTTTGAACTGTATGCAACGATCAGTGGATCAGGGACATGTCCAGAGCAGAGAGAGTACCCTGGAGTGGAGGCACCCTAGCCCCTGTCCTAAATGACCACAATAAGATTGGGGATTGGTCACCCAGGAATCCTGGCCCCAGCCTTGTCGGGATTACAAGGACTCTGCCATACAGGAGAGTGGAAGGGGAGCTCTCGAGGTCAGGCAGGCCTCGGTAAAATGAGGGGGAGCGAGGACTCAGATCCTTTCAATAGCCAATTTCAGAGGGGTAGTGTATAAGCCAGAAAAGTTCCCCACAATAGTGAAACCACTCCCCCACTTACACAATCATTGTGTAACCTTGGAATTTTCAGCTGATCTTCTTAGATATTAATTGGCTAATGTTTTTACAGCGCTGTGTAGGTGTAAAGGGCTATTTAATTGCTAGGTATTATTATTAACAATGATGTGGTTTTTCACAAAATCATAGACACATTAGAGAGCGAAAAGTTCCATTGGCTCATTTAGTCCATCCCTTAGGCAATATAAGATTGTTCCCTACCACCTATTTTCTAGTACTTTTTCCAGCCTAATTTAAAATGGCTTGAGTTATGGCGCTTCTTTCGTTTCCCTTGCGAGACTATGTTACAGCCTAATGGAGCACACCAAGAGGAAGTTTTTAATAGCATTCAGCCTAAATTTTCTCTGTCTTAATTTAATCTCAGAACAGTTCTTCTCCCTTGTTTGTTTCCACCCTTCAAATACTTGTAGGCAGTTATCATCAGTCGTGGTGATAATCATGGTCCGGTCACATTACCTGCAGCCACTTTAAAATAAGGGATGATTTTAGTTGGCATTTATTTAACTGGATGCAAATGACTAAGTATTTAAGGTGTAACCACATAAGGTGCAATTAAATACAACTCCACTGAGGTAAATACCCACTGAAGATACTACATAACAGAAATATAATGGTCAGGTGATGCATGGATTTTAGATTTAATAATTGGATTTCCAACAAGAACAAGGTAACGTCATAGGATCCTATTCAATGACCACAATATACAAATTTTACATTAAAGAGGCTCCGTGAGGCCATGGAATAGATCTGGATTTTGCACATGATTATCCTGTTATCAGCAAACAGATGCGGGCCATGGAAAATATTGTGTCAAAGTTCACTGGTAACTCCCAAAGACAACCAAAGGGGGAAAAGAAAATTTGTTACAAACCACTCTCCTCCTCTTACTCCCCTTCCTGTGCCCATGCTGGCTAGAATGTCTGCTTAGCTATTTGGGAATATCAGGATGCAGAGCCTGGGAATATCTGTTCTTAGAGCAGACATGTACTATCTCGCTATGTATTTGCCTTTAAGGTTTCCTCCTGTATATTAGGTCAACCCTTCCCTGTACAAGTACGTCATTGTGTTCTGTCCATTGGAGGATCAACACATCTTCCAGAGGAGTTACCATCCTTACACTAGGAGAGACACACCTTCATTTTCTGAAACAATTTATTGGATGAGGCTAAAGAAAGATGAAGTAAGCAATTCACAGCACATAGAGGTTTTACTTACTGAATCAGAATTAGTGTGCAAAGGTGTCAAGTTGAAGCCAGTAGAGTTTTCATGGCCAGAACTTGTAGAAAATTAATTTCTACTGAATAGGGCCCATAGCAGAAAAGGAGTGATCACATGGTATGGTTAGTAGTAGCTTAGGCCTGGTCTACACTATGAGTTTAATTCGAATTTAGCAGCGTTAAATCGAATTAACCCTGCACCTGTCCACATAACGAAGCCATTTATTTCGAAATAAAGGGCTCTTAAAATCGATTTCTGTACTCCTCCCTGACGAGCGGAATAGCGCCGAAATCGATATTGTCATTTCGAATTAGGGTTAGTGTGGCCCAATTCGATAGGTCCCAGAGGTCAATACTATCCCACAGTGCACCATTGTGACCGCTCTGGACAGCGATCTGAACTCGGATGCACTGGCCAGGTAGACAGGAAAAGCCCCGTGAACATTTGAATTTTATTTCCTGTTTGCCCAGCACAGGAGAGCACAGGTGACCACAGAGAGCTCATCAGCACAGGTAACCATGTAGGCCGATAATCGAAAAAGAGCACCAGCATGGACCGTACGGGAGGTACTGGATCTGATCGCTATGGGGAGAGGATTCAGTGCTAGCAGAACTTTGTTCAAAAAGACGAAATGCCAAAACTTTTGAAAAAGTCTCCAAGGGCATGATGGAGAGAAGCCACAAGAGGGACTCAGAGCAGTGCCGCGTGAAAGTCAAGGAGCTCAGACAAGCCTATCAGAAAACTGCCCCCAGCCCTGCCCATGGGACTCCCTGCCCACAGGTGCCCACCCCAGTGGCCATGCTGGAGGAGCTGCCAGTGCGGGGCACTGCGCAGCTACACAGATACTGATTTATATCCGCAGATACACATTTTGTATCCATGCAGTGCTTTACAAATCATACCCGCTGATATTTCATACCTGTACTAGCATAATAGATGTTAGTTTTTGGTGACTGTTTGTTTCTCAGGGAGTTGACAGTGATTGCTATAATTTTGGGGTATGGTAAAGATTAAGATAAAACCTATTCAATAAAACCATATTTCTATATCAGGGCTACAGACTGTGTGATGACTGAAAACTTAAATCGAGCTCGCTGCAGCCTGAGTACCTGTGTTAGAAGCTGTGACATTCTCTCTATTCCAGACAAGCTCCACAGGCAGAAGACTGCTATAGAGCATTCCACCAAGCAGTTGAGGAGCCTCCCAAGGGTCAGTTAGGATGTGGAGAGGGGGAGCAAGTAGTGAAATCCAACAGAGACTTTTGTGTCTCTTGTTTGGGGCCAGGTAGGAAACCTCAAGGTCTAGGCCGTCTGTAGTTTTTCCACTAGGAGGTGAGGAAAACTCCTCGTGAGCAAAAATACTCAAGTTTATTTCCTGCTTTTAATCAGCATGTGTGATGTAAAAAGCTCAAGAGAGAGCCTTCTAGTGTGGTTGATCTGGAGATAAAGACCTAACCAGTAACAGAGGCATAATGACCAATTTTTGGCAGACTTATGTTAGAAATCACTATGGAAACATAGTCTTAACTAACAAGCTGTTTACTTAGCATGTTTAACGAGTCATTACATACAGTAACTTCCTCAGTCCTTTTGCAATAATGCCCTATTCTCATAAAGGGCTCTAAGTCCATTGTCTGTGAAGACAGACAATACACTTATAATTAACCTTCTTCTTAAGAACAATTATATTCAACAACAAACAAACAAAAACTACACAGACTTCCTTGCCCCAGAGTCGTCAGGCTCATAATCATGTTCCAAAATGGGTTTTAACTTGGCTTCTTCTGGCTGTTTCTGTGCCTCCTCTCGCCTGCTCCCATCTCTCAAAAGTGGAACCAAGGTCTTCCAGTTTTTCCCTGAAACTTATAAGCAAAGTGGCTATTAATGTTTTTTTCCTATAGAAACAGACCAGAATATTCCTGATTTCCAACACAGAGGGAAGCTGATATAAATATAAAGCACAAGTGAAGATTTTATTCTTCTAAGAGTTTTATTCTTCTGTCAGTTTTCCATTCTTTTAAGCTGATAAGTACACCCACTGATCTATGAACTGGGGTTCTTCTGCGCCAACTAGTGAGCTACTGCACTGTGGAGTTGGGGTATCACAGGGTGGCTCCTAGGGTACACTGCTGCCATCTCTACCCAGCTCACCAAGGTGTGCTGCTCATTACACACCATGCAAACCTCCAGAGTGAGGAATTTGGAGGGTGCTAAAGAATTCCAAAGAATAAAACTGCAAAATGAATAAAGGGTTAGTTCGTTTTAATCCTTTTGCCCACTGTGTTCATTTATCAGCAGTTCATGTAGCTATTCGAAGTCTCACTGAGAGATGTATAAACTTGCACTACATTATGCTGCCTTTATAACCAAATGTATAGTCTAATACTGTCAGAATATGGGAAGAACCAGAGGGTTTTCATGCCTGGATTCCTCACCTCTGCTAGACTTAAAAGAAAAACTTGAGTTTCGCTTCAAGCCCATGCTGTATCCGGGCTCCTCGTTGATTATGCCCAGATTAGTGTTCCATGTGGACCAGTTCACCTCATCGACTCTGGAGAGAGAACAAAAGTGATTTTATGTTGAAGGGGATCTAATTTATTCTCCAGAAAAGGATCTAGAGTCTCAAGGACCGTATGCACAGTATAACTTTGTTACGCAACCAGTTCCCTGTGTGGACTACTCAAGGTTCACAGCAATAATCCTAGAATTTTTGTGAAGTAAAGTGTTGCAGAATGGTGCTGGCCTAATCATCGTGGCTGATTAAAGCTCCCTGTGGCTTTAATGTTCTGTATTGAAGTCCCTAATATACCAAATAAAATTCACCATCTACTGGATATTTGCAAAAGGCCACTCTCAGCCTGGGACTAAGGCAACTGCCCATAAAGAATTCTGTAACATTCATCTGAGGAGAAACCTACCTGACTCAATTAAATTTATATGGTACTATGCAGAGAAACACCAAGGGATTCCATAGTCACACTCTGTCCTTGTGTCCCAGGGCAGAGGATTGGCTGTGGGCTGGTGAATCCATAAGTATGCAGATCCACTGGCCAATCACCACACAAGGAAGAGTTTGGGCTATTGCAGGCCTGCTGTGTAACAGTTCTGCCAATGCTTCATGGTTTGGCAGGGGAATGCCATAGACGTCCCTGTTGCATAGGTCAGATACTCAATCTCTACACTCTGGCCAGGATTCTCCACACTGAGAAATTTGTGTCCCAGTGGCCCAAGAAGTAAAGCAGCATAGAATCAGATATGGAAAGAAAAAGGCTCAGCTGCAGTATCTGTTCATTATCAGTTGAGCTATGATGCTGCTTTGAGACTGACAGCGATGAGAGGATGTAATTCTGCTATTTTAATAGAGAAGATCTGCTTGGCATTCTGGCATCTCAGACCCCACAGGCTGGACCAAGTCGATTGCGAATTGGACTAAGAACCCATTTCACTCACGCCACTGAACAACCATCACTTAGTGTAATTTTTGGTCACCCTAAGTTTAAGAGCTCTACATCCCATTACCAATTATTGAGCCATCCCAGGCCTGTAGATGTGTTTCTGTAAAAGATTATCTATTTAAGATAAAACCAGGTTACCTGAAACACCATCTGTAATCGTCCTTGTCATCAGGTGTGGTTCCCACTAAGACTCGCTTCCCGGATCGGAATGAGCTTATCATGCAGTTCAGGTAGCTGTTTTCGATATTCAAGATGGTGATGGCTCTCTACCAATTGAAAAAAGCAAAGGGAGTGGGGAACAGCTGGCATTTAACGATATTTATACAAATGTCGAGTCCTTTCTTTATAAAACAAGAATCCCCGAACTTTCACCTGCATTGTCAGCGTAGGGGAATGATCACACCAACCACAACCTCAGAACTACAGGGTTTCTTTTCATACACAAAAGCTGACATGGCATTATCTGCAAACCTGGCATAAGGCACTTGCTTTCCTCCAATGCATAATCTCTATCTTTTCGTATTCTGATCATGGTTTTCCAGTGGCAAGAGCCTAAATGCCTTCAGCTTTTTGACTCTGTTATTGTCTAATAATAAAAATATTTATTTTCTTAAACTGCAAACATCTGTGAAATATTCATGTATACCAAGAACATCTGCTTAAACAGTGCATCATACACCAGATGAGGAAAGGGACCAAGGACAGTCATACAGGCTTGTGCTCATGGGTAAGGAATCAAAAGATAGAAAGACTGTGGTAGATAAATGTCTATCAGGGATGGTCTAGACGGTATTTGGTCCTGACATGAGGGCAGAGAACTGGACTCGATGACCTCTCGAGGCCCCTTCCAGTCCTAGAATCTATGAAAGACATGAAAATCTGCAAGTTTAGAAACATACCAATCCCTCCAGATTCCCCTTAAAGCGCTTATCCCCCAAGTTCTCTTTCTAATTTCAACATGAAGACCAGAACCCTTGGGGAGATCGACAAACCTGGAGTTTCCAGATGCTCTTACTCTCTTGTGCGATCTTGTTCACAGTTTCCCCCATCAGCGCAATGAGCATGTTAAGCAGGAGAATGTAGGTGAGGATGACGTAGAGGACCAACAGGATGACAAAGACAGACTTAAACCTGTAGTTCTCAGTGAACTCTAGATCTCCCATGCCAATGGTGAACTTGAACAGCTCCAGGCAGGTGTAATACAGACTGTTGTATGATGTGCGGCCACACTTCAGCGGGCCTGATCGGGTGCAGAGACAGCTTTCATTTTCATGTCCCTCATAGTCATCTTCAATCAGAGTCACCACAGCTGTTGCAAATGGGAGGAGCCATGTATACAAGAAAAAGATACTCAGAAACCATGCTCATTTTGAAAACAATGAAAAACTTGCAAAGATGTTTCTGATTAGACACAATATATTGATGGCCATTGACTGCAGCTGGAGTTGTGGGGAGTCAGAAGCTCTGAAAAATCAGTCCCCAGGATTCTAAAGTTGGGCACCCAACATGGAGGCATCCAAAATTAGAGATTACTTGAAAATGTGGTGTCTCAGTTTCTCCATCTGTGAAATGGGAATAATGCTGCTTGGCCAGCCACTTTGAGATCTATGGTTAAAAAAACCCATATAAATGCTAAGTAGTAGTATTCTTTATTTTTTTATGGACATAGAGATTTTGTACAGGGGCGTAATGTAGATTTCTTAATTTAGAATTCCCTTTACCAACTAGAAACTAACTGAAAAGGTAATTTTTGCTAAATCTCATTGATTCTCTAAGAAAAAATAACTCCCAGGGTGACATTACCTGTAGAAAATCCCAAGAGAAATACTAGGTAGACAAACATGAAGCGACATAAATCCCTCAGGATCATCTGCAACATGGAAACAGAACATTTTATAGGAATCTAACACAAACTGCAACCAAGAGTGGTGCAAAGTCCTGATTTTGGCTCCAAGAAGGAACTATACAATGTGAACCCACTGCTCTTGCCTTACACCATGACTGAGTTTCAGAGTACTGGCTTTCAATATAGAGAACATTTCCTTTGCATTATTCATAAAACCTATTAGATGCATATGCAATATATCTAATGCCAAATATATTTTCAACCTTTCATGTGTGAATCAAGCTAAGACAGTGTGGTTCTTTCCCCCCCTCTATAGACTACTTGGCTAGACCACATGAAGAGGTCAGACTTCTTTGTGGAGAAGGCCTGAAAATAATCGAGGAGAGTAGAGTTAACTGACATGAGCCTTTTCAGACTCACTGGCAACAGTGAGTAGATTTCCCCCTCAAAGGTGAAAATAAAGCTGCTCTCCCTGGTTTAAACTGTAAGGTTGTCAGTGGTGGTACTTTCCAGGCCTGTGAAAATTCAGCAGTGCTTGCCAGCTGCTCCCTAGACTGACCTTCTCAATCATGACAGAGTAAATTCCCATCTGCTGGAAGCCTCGGGTGTAGTACAGCATGTTAGCCCAGCCCAGGGCCAAGGAGAACACCATGGATGCCACATAGAGTTCCTGGCCACAGAAGTACAGCACCACTGAACTCAACAGGAACAGTGAGTGGACAAAGCTGAAAGACAAGCATGGTCCAAGCATAGAATGCAGATCCTCCCAGGCAGGCAAGAAAGGAGGAATGAAGGCATACGCAGTGGACTCAGGAACTCCCCAAAAGCACATTAGAACCCATCTGGACAGACATGTCCTCCTAGGCCAACCTCCATCCCTTGAAAGATTCTTTTCTTTCACGCTTCACTTGTTTTCTGCACCCTCCACAATTCCTCTCCCCTTAATAACTCCTGAGTTTCCCGCCTACCCCTGTTTCTCCAACCCAACTGTTGTTCTTCTGCCTTGCAGGATGTCAGCAAGACAAGCCACAATTCTCTGTTGTCCTCGAGCGCTGCTCTCTCTGGCACTCCCTCTCTCTCACCACAGAACTGGCAGCAATTCAGGGAGCTGCCATGCGTCGCAGCCTTCCAACTGGGGAAGGCAGAGGGTTCCAATAGCATAAAGCGGAAGGTACCATTGGGGACAAGAGAGGTTTCAGCATGACCCAGTGCACAGGGCATTGGACTGCAAGTCAAGAGTCCTGGGATCAATTCCTGGCTCTGCTGCGGGACCCAGACAGTTAACCTCTCAGCACCTCACCTTCCCCACCTGTAAATGAGGGTTATGACCTGGAGCCACCTGTGTAAAGTGCTAGGAGAACTGGGGGATGAAAAGCACTGTGCTTATTTCAAAGCCCGTACATGCAATGCCTGGCTCAAGCCAAGGCCATGAGTCCCTCAGGCTCCTAAATGCCACATTCAAACGCAAATAAAGAAGTTGCTGAGAAGCTTACAAAAGAACCTCACTGTAACTGTCAGCTAGCAGAGTCTTCAACGAGGGCCGCCTCTGCAGGAAATATTGTATCTGCAAAAAAGGGAGACGAAAAGCCAGTTTCAGGTTGGCAAGTACATATCCACTGTGAATCTTCCCAGGGACCCATCACTCTGTATCTAAGTGCTGACTGTTATCTGGGTCAAACTTGATGGAAATGCTGCTGCAACCACTGCCCCTCGAAGTGCTGGGGAGGTCTGCTGAGCTGGGTCCAAGCTGAGAAAAGGGAAACAGCTCACCCTAAGTTAGCCCACAAGAACGTCTCAAAAGCAACACACATTCCAGTAAGCATGAGCCTCAATTATGGTTATCCCCTCAGTGTAGCACTACTCTGTAGCTTGCAGCTTGTGTGGGAACAGCAGCCCATTTGCTCACTGGTTTGAGCAACTGTGATCACATTATACTTGCTGTGTGTTCTTTACATTGGCCACCATACAGTAGCAGTTTGTGTTTAAAACAGCACTGATGATCTCTAAAGTCCTTAATGGTGCAGGCCCTGGCTATATTCAATACCCCCTTAAGCCTTGTTTAGGTTTGTGTCTGTGCTCCTAGACTTTGTAGGACCTTCCCGCTCATACAGTAGGACGACAGGCAACTGCACCTTAGCTTTGTAACTCAGTAGAAACCTGACAGCTCCTGGCCATCTGTAGCTTTCGAGTGAGGGATGGATTCTAATAGCAGCTCGCCCAAATCAAGGGGGGCACCTATTTTTGGTCCCACCTATCCACATGGCTCTAAGGAGAAATTTCAAAGCTCTTACCCCTCTGAAAAAGAAATAGAGACCTCCCAGCACACTCAGGATCTCTCCAATGATACGAAAACACTCCTTGGTGGTGTATTCAAATTTGAAGGGAGGCTGCATAACACAGGAGCAAAGGATCAGCACGGCTGAAGATGGAAAAGGACCTGTCAGCTGACAGTTGAAAGTGCTTGGCTTCCCTAGGATTGGTCCCTAAAAGCACTGCTTCCTCCATTCTCCAAGGAGGGGGCTGGAGGAGGAATCCTTCCTCTGTGCTTTTTCTCCCCCTCACTCGAGAAAAAAGGAAGAACCTTTTAAGCTCTGGCACCAATAACATGACAGGCAGGCCTGGGAATTCATCCCCGGGGTGGTCACACTACTGAACAGGACCAGTGAAGTACCTTTCCATGTTTCTCCACAGGTCTGAAGTAGGCGGCCAGGGTGAGTATGATAATGTGCATAGCATAAACAAAGAAGTTGAAGTAAAATAGGCGTTTGACGAATCGGTCCCACTTGTCCTGCAGCAGCCTGTTCAGGGGCTCTACCAGCAGCATCTCATGGCGATTCTGCGATGGGGATGAGAGAGAGAAGGAATGCGAGTCCCAAAGAAGCCAATACACACATAAGATGAGAGAACACTTGCCAAAGGTCTTTGCAAACAGTACATGAAATCTCATTTCATCCCCAGCGAACACATTCTCCAATCCCCGGAAGGCAGGGAAGTGTCATTATCCCAGTTTCACAGATAGGGAAACTAAAGAACAATGATTTGTCCAGGGTTGCTCAGTGCGTTAGGAGCAGAGCTGAGAAGAAGAAGCCAGGAGGCCTATCTCCCAGTCCCCTGCTCTAACTAAAATGTTTCTCTCAGGAGCCCAAAGGAGTGCCAGGGAATGACATACAACACAGAGGCTTGCTGAATGGTATGACTGTACCCTTACTTGTCTGAGCGAGCACTCCTGTGAATGGTACTGCTGGTTTCAAGCCAAAGGGGAATATTTGCAATAGAGAGTCCTGGGATTAACTTCCAGTCAGGTGGGCAAAAGGAATGTCAGTGCATAGACTCATGCCAAGAAATTACATCTCTGCACTGTTCCTGATCACTATTTACTTGTGACAAAGCTCTGCAAAATGGTGCAAACCTTCAGAGACATGCACTATACAGAACACAGCTGACCACTGAACCCAATAAGAAAGTGTAGTGGAGGTTTCATACTCACTGGTGTTTTGCTGCTATACGCAATGATCTCAAGCACTGAGTTTTTCTCACACGTGTCTATGGAGGACAGGTCATAAAGAGATGAGTGGACGGGTCCATAGGCCCATTCGGTGAACTTCCTAGACAGATGCCTACACTCAGGCTCTTTGATCTCTCGTCTAAGGATATAGGCGAAAATCTGATCATAAAAGAAGAATGTGTGACCAACATTTCAGCTATGGTAGATTTTTTGTTACTCAGTTTCTCAGTAACACAGGAGGTCAGATTCCTCCCTGGCTTAACTGCACTGATGTCAAGCCATTAGGATACTGTACAGCTCACAGCTTGCAATATCCAAAAGCCAGTGATCTCATTGGGTTCTGGGGAATGGGGCAATATGAATGCGTCAAACGGGCTAATGCAGTAGCACAAAGAAGTGTCTCTCTGGTCTCTAGTTAAGATTCGTGACTATCTTTGGCCTCTCAAACCTAAAGCAGACATCTAGAGGCACCTGTTTTGTATCCCTTTGAGGTCACTGTCTTGGTGAATGGGAAATGTTTTGGAATTGGCCATGTCAGCCAGTCAAAGATGCACTTCCTACTCCACCTGAGAGAGCAGCCAGGGCACTTTTACGGTTTCCATCTAGGCTGACATATGTGTAGTGATACTACATGACTCCCCCTGGACACATTCCCTAGATTATGCCAACGCTTTGCTTTTTAAACTCCAGCGTTAAGTCCTGCAAAGTTTTCCACCGTCTCAGTCTACTAGGCCCAGGCAGCAAGTAATGACATGTACCCAGTGTAAATGTTTGGATTATACTGTGTGTCATTTGAAAGGGTAACAGGTATGTGTCCACCTACCCCTATCTTCCCTTTCTTTGCAGCCAGGGTTAAAGGAGTCAGTCCCTTCTTGTTAGTGATCTCTTCCAGCTTCAGCATCGGGTTAATTTTGGCACCAACGATCAAAATGTTGTTATACACCTTTGTTACAAACTTGGTGTTATCTTTGGTGTTATCTGCAATCTCCACAAGGGCATGCAGAACTGTATTGCCCATAGAGTCCTGGCCAGCTATATTGGCTGGATGATACCGATTCTCAAGGAGGAATTTCACAATACCTAGCTGGTTGGTGCAGGCAGCCAGGGAAAGAGGCAGTTCACCTAATGGCAAGCAACATGAACCACTGGTCAGAAAACTCACCATATGTACAAAAGTCACCTTTATGAGCCTAAAAGCAAAGGAGAATCTGAAACCTCTGCAAGTCTGAAACCTCCCACCATGACCAGACGGGTGAACAGTTCTCCATTAAATGCTGTACCAAATCGTAGTCTCATTGTAAAAATTGTATTTCCCTATGGGACTTAAGCACTGCATAAAACTTGTGCAGGCCCTCTAAACATGGGTGAATTTGTTCATACCTTGCTGATCAATACACAGGGGTTATCTGGACCCAGCATATGAAGAGTTGAAAAAAAACAACAGAATTCTCAAATTAGAAATGCACATTGAATGGTCCCTATGTATTTTGGTTAAAAGGATTGAATGTGTTAAGGGAGTTTTCCCCCAAAAGAGACTTAGTGTGTGAGGTCCAAACACAAGAAGTTTTAGGCAGAAAAAAAAATAGCTTGGATTATAACATCCTCTTCCCACTGAAAATAGATGGCTATAGAAATATTGAGTGCAGGGCTAGAAGGTGCCTTTAATAATGATACAACCCATCAAGAGATACAGAGGTAGTTGAAGACAAATGGGGTTAGGTACCCATCTTGCACTGAATAGCAATGGGAAATACATGCTAACTGCCTTAGCTCCTTTGTAATCCCAGCCCCCATTAGGGAAATACTAGGGAAGGTTGGATTAGCCCCTCTGCTATTTGCGGGTCATCTGGTCCCCCATAATCAGGAGTATTTGAACAGCTCACATTTGGGACAACTCTCTTGGTTACTTGATCAGTGACTGAAATCATGTATCATGCTCCTTGTTTTCCCTACCAAAATAAAAGCCAGGTTTCCCTTTGATTTTTCTGAAGAACTCCCCGTGGGCTCTCGCATGAACATCTGCTCCATTTTGGACCAAGAGCTTCACCAAGTACATATTCCTCCTCTCGATGGCAATATGGAGAGCGGTCTGACCTAGGGAAACACTCATCAGACCACGGAAATCTCACTTCACATAACACAGAGAAACAGACACTACAGGCTCCTTCTTCTGAGGTTAATGCAATGTTGGTGAAAAGGAACAAATTGAACAGCCCTGGAGACTGAAGTGCTCTATTTATCAACAGAATGGAGACAACAGAGGCAGCAAATGCAGGCTTCATTGCTCCCCTGCCAAAGTGCTCCCAACCCTATCCCACCAATGTACATCTAGAAGAGGAAGAAAATTAGACCACATTAACCAAACATGCCATTGGCAGAAATAGCCGATGTGATCCAGGTATTTCAGGAACACAAATGCTGACTAATAGCCAGGCTCTCCGGCAGTTTGTGGTTCTGCTTTCCTAGAACCAGAGCTTCATTCTTGGTTACATTCAGAGAAACGCCTAAAGGGCTCAGACAGTCCTGTGTAGCCTATCTCCAGTCTTTCTATACAGACGTAGGCTCAGGCAAGGCCAGACATTCTCCCAGCTGCCTCTCTTACCCTTGTAGTAGTTGTCAGTATATTCTGCATTAACTAACTCTTTCAGATTGCCGGTCTTCTCCGCAATTTCCAGAAGCAGGGGAATGGTATCGTTCTTCCCATCATGCAGATTCAGCATGGCTTTCAATAAGCATGTTTTCCCAGTTTCCGGCTCTGTAACACAAAGGGTTACAGCTATAAAAAGGGGCATTACAAACCTGCCCTCTGACACCTAGGCATGCAGTTATCACAAGGGATCTGGGATCTTCTGAATGGATGGAAGAACCCAGGGACATTTAGGGTTTCACAAATAACCTCTCAAAGTTTTCTGAAATTTCCAGCATCTTTATAGAGAATTGCCCAGTCTATAGGAAACTACTGCATGACGCAGAATCCCCTGCGATGTTTTACCGTGTATTTAAGTGAACACCATGCTGATCTTTTAATATCAGCAGTGCTGCTGGAAGAGGGAAATGGCTTTTGGATGCATCTGACACTACTAGGTACCTTTGAACTCATGGTCTGTGAGATGCTTCCGGGTCTCATGGAGATAGGTCAGCAGGTCATTCAGATCACTTGTGTCACCTTGGGTCACAGCATCAAAGATCCTTCTGCAGTCATAGAACTTGAAAGCTTTTTCTGAGCAGCTTGCAATGGAATTGGTAGATAGGAGCCTGACAAAGATAAATTTAGTTACTGAAACGTAAGGATTAAGCAAGTCTCTTAAAAATCACCAGACAATTATATTTCCAATACTGGCTTTCAGTGGCACACACATTAGTGAATATTACATATATTAATTGTACAGTCTGTAAGATCATAAAGGTTTAGACAAGCAGATGTACTGGTGAAATTATGTTTTTACTGGTGAAAAGTTAAGAACAAGAACTCAAATCTAATTAAGCAACTAAGTCTAACATCTTGGCTCCCAGGAGCGTGATCAGAACTCCTCTGAGTTCTAATCCCAGCTCTACCACTGATTCACTGTATAGCTTTGGCTAGATGATACAGGGCAACATTTTCAAAGGTGCCCACTAATTTTGAGTAAGACACCAAAGAGTTTGATTCCTAGAGGCACTGAGAGCGCTCCTATTGATTCATTTGCAGAGTAGATTGCATTCAGAGATAGAACTCCAGAATGGGCAATAGTCATTACATGTACCATAGTATTTGGGATACTTCCCGTTCTTTAAGCATAGGAAATACTGAAATATCTGCTGTAAAATCAAATACTGTGGTGCAATGGGTAAATGCTGAGCTATGCAACCCAATCTCTGTCATAATATATATCCAATATATCAGGAACTTACTTGGCAAATTGATTGTGTATTTTTGCCCTTTCCATATTGATATTAAACTTGATGACGGGAGCATGCCCCACGTGGTCCATCTGGTACAAGGAGTCCATAGGCGCCATGTTCTTATCGCTATCCCCCATCCCAAAGCGGCCTCGTCTAGCGAAGATGTTGCTTTTGGGCAGCTGCTGTACCTTTGTGCTCTGGCTTCCCTGAAGGCTTTCAAGGGTTCCCAGAATGGAATCCTCACCATCTGTGTGCTCGTCCGTGACTTCAGAGTCCTCCACATCAGAACTGCCAAGTTTCCTCATCTTTCCAAGGATGGATGACATGGCCAGCAGGCTGTAGGGAACCCAGTGACATTAATACTGCCACCTGATAAACTATGTGGAGCTTAGTCTGGCTTCAGTTATGACTCTTCACCAGTTAGAAAATGAGTTGCTTTCTTTTTCTTTTAAGTGAAGGTGCTGGCTGCCATCCTGTATTACCAGGGCAGGTACAGCAGCAGTATACGCTTTCTACTCACTGCTCCTCTCGGCCTGTGTGCCTCCTCCCTGATCTGAAGAGGCCAACCACTGCTTTGGGTTAAGAGAGGAATTCTGCTGAGATTACCAATAAGGAGGCCAATTGGTGCCAATCGTGATCATGGTTCTTGTGATGTGGTCACTTGTTCACTAAGGCTGGGGCTGTGTCTTTTCTATTCTATTACCTCAACACCTCCAACTCGTTTCATACGAGCCCATCAAACAGCTATCAGATGGTACATTGCTCAACTGCCACCACCATTCTGGTGATAAACACTGACTTGGTATTCTGCTTCACAGACAAACCGAGCCTCTTCTGGCTCACAAAGCTCTGACTTACAGTAAAAGAATCAGGGGTAAGGACTTGAAGGAAACTCAATAGAGATTCTCCTCCACCCCACTAGCCAGTACCTGGCAGACACTGGGAAATAATATGGCAGACTTACAGAGTGTTACAAAGCCAGGAGCAAATAAAAATATATACATGCCAGGAGGGAAAGATTGCAGGGCCAGATGTCAGGTCCATGTGCATGCTGGGGAGGAAGAGGAAACAAAGACACATGGAGCTCTTGTAAGGCTTATGGAAAGGTATAAATTACTACACAGGCACATTGATCTGGTATGGTTCTATTATCCTGTCTTGGAAGACACCAATATCTAAAATGAAAACCTCGCTAACAAGGCAGTATCTGGTAGTGTGAAGAGAAATTTTCCTCTTCGCCCCTGCAGCAATCCACTGATGCCCTGAAGCATGAGGTTTCACTGTTCATGTCTTCATCTATATAATTTTTTTACTTTGTTCATGAAATAATTTTTACAGTATCCTACTGTGAACATGAAGAGAAGAAATGTGACACGAAGGATCTGGTCTTCACCACCCATGAAGCCATCCTCAGCAAAGGTGCTACCCCCCACCAGGTGAAGCACTGAACTGTTTAGAAAGTGACTTTTAGCTCACACTGTCCTGTCCTTTAGTATTTTTTTAGGCAGGCAGCTTGGGTTTTCTGCATGCTTCAACATAACTATTCACGCGAATAGCTCCTAACCTGAAGGAAGTAGCCTCCGTATGTGAAATCAGTATGCAGCAACATTCCCTCTGGGATGATCCACCAAAGAAGAGGCTGCAGCACTTATTAATAAACCAACTGATATGGAAAATCATTTTTACTACTTCTGGGGGCATTCTGTGCCAAAAAAATTAAAAGTTCTGCACACAATATTTTAAAATTCTGCAAATTTTATTTGTCAAAATAACACTGCAGAATCATGCCAGTTTCAATTATTTTGGTAATTTATTTCAAAATCCCTGTCAGCAAGTATGTCTGTACCAATACAGACACACACAAAAATTCCCCTGGGAGTAGAGAGTTAAAGAAACCCCTATGACAACCCAGCTCCTCTTTCTCTGCCCCCTTTTTCCCCCAGAGCCCAGCCGTGGGGCCAGACACCCACAACCGCTCCCCTGCAGAGCCCACCTGCGAGGCCCTCCTAGCCCAGGAACCCCCACTCCCACCCCCCTGGTCCAGACACCTGTTCTCCCCCTCTCCGCCCAGGGATTCAGAGGGAGAAACAGCCTGATGCTTGGTCCTAGGCTTGCACAGTTTCCTGCATGCTGCCCTCTCCTTCCCTCAGGGAACATGCTGGGAACTGCAGCTGCCAGGAACCCTCTAACTCCCTCTCCCTCCCCCCAGCAGTGTCTTCTATGTACAAGCTGGGCTCTGCCGAGTCCAGTGGCCCCTAGTGGCAGCTAGAAACACTGCAGTCCATTTCTGTGGGGGATAGGAAATTCTGCATGCACGTTAATTTCTGCAAAATTCTACATTGCACAGTAGCGCAGAATTCCCCCAGGAGTAAAATTTTACACAGGATCATAGGGGCAAACTACATCACCTGAGAACATCATAGATCCCTGGCAAGGAGAAAACAACAATCTCTTTGCACATGAGTAATTAAAGCTCAGAGTAAGTTTCTCTCTGTTTGGAAACAAGAAGGCTAATTCTGCTCTCAGACCAGGGTAAATCAGGAGTATCTCGTTTATATGAAAGGAGTTGCACCAGTCGGTAAGTGACAGCAGAATCAGGTCCACAGCATCTACCACAAACAAGCTCTCCATTCTCCCTTTGCCCATCTGATAAGAGTCAGGGGATACAAGAAGGGGAGAGGGCAAGTTGTGTTAGTTGCAGAATAAGCATCAATCAAGAGAAACAGGACAAAGTAAGGAGCGGACACTGGGGAGAGCAGATGAGAAAGGGATGGAGAGAGGAGGTGTGCTAAAGAAATGAATAAAACAGGTGTCCAGAAAGTTTGAAATGTCAGATGTTGCTGAAAGGGATTTGGAGGACAGGACTGTAAGAAGATGCTAAGTTGTTGTGGATGGGCCTGTTAAGAGCACATAACTAGATGGGTAGTAATTAGTCTTGTGCGGGTAGAGGTTAAGGATATTACTCCAAAGGTAGATCTATTCACCAGTGAACTGGGCCTCAACCAATGTCTTTGCGCATGAGGGCTGCATCTCAGCCATGTAGGAGCAAAGAGACGTTCAGCTAACATGGGAAATTACCATCTACTGACTTCAGTGGAGTTGCAGTGGTGTATAATTGGCATAAAAGACTGGAGAACCAGTTCCAGTCAAGATAGGCACTAGACAGGTGGACCTTGGAAGCTAATAGTCACCTCAGGGACACTTAAAAAAAGCAAAAAAAAGGATAAGTTACTATAGGTGAGTAATATCTGGAAGGCCAGCACTTTGATTGTGTTTGATTTACAATTACAACAAACATGTTAAAATGAAGTGTTGTTGTAGCCATGATGGTCCCAGGATATTAGACAAGATGGGTGAGGTAACATCTTTTATTCGACAGAAGTTGGTCTAATAAAATATATTACCTCATCCACCTTGCCATGCTAAAATTATGACTGTTTCTAGACTGTTTTATTATTAAAGTGTTTTAAACAATGCAGTGTGATCAAGAGGAAATGAGGGAAACACTGATACATTGAGGCGAATGTGACATGGGGTAGGAACTGCTGCTCATATCATTATTAGATGTAAAGTACTCTGGAGGATCAGTAGCAGAGAAAGCAATTCACTGTACCCCTTTTGAACTTTGCCACAGCCAGATTTGAGAGTGTGTGCAATGCTCTACTACGAAACATTTCCTGAAATCCCAGATTGTCTGGAAAATCTAATGTTTTGAAAACAAGGGTTTTATGAAATCCTGTAACAGCAAATGCCCTCCTCAGCTATAAACAGACCACCATGCTAAGAATTATTATGTATACAAGCAATAGCCGACCAGTGACCTCAAACGTGCTTATGGTGGCGAGTTAGCAAGACCACAGTTAAAGTTATATCAGGAGTTTTAGTTCAGTTGGATTCATTAACCTCTAAATCAACGGCACCTATACAATTTTCTATGGAAGTAAACATGGAATGAGAATGTTGTTGTCTGTTTGAATTTTCAATAACAATACAAAATATGTATAACATTCTTAAAATATTCATAAATATACATTTACAGCATCAACAATAAAACAAAAATAGAAAACGTTAAAATGACATCTACCATAATTTAGCTTTGGGGTGCATTTTTGCTTAAATTTCTAGTTCTGTGGGTCTCTCACAAAAATAAATAGAAATAAATAGAAAAAGAACTTTTCCTAATATCTTAAATTATTCTGTAAACAAGAAATAATGCAAAAAATAACTTTTCATTTACAGTTTGATATTAAAATACTTAAGAACTATAAAATGTTCCCTGAAATAATCAACAGTGAGTTTAAAGAATGATTTTTGGTTTGGGATTGGGTTTTTTTTTCCCCCTCTCTTTTTTTGGAGGAGTGGAGTTGTGTCCTTTAAGCGAATGTACATCTGGCAAAAAATGTCAGACTGGAACCTGGAGACCTTTATTTCTCTACAGAACAGGCAGAGTATAGGCAGCAGCACAATGACCTTTTTCTCATTGCCTTATCAATATGCCAGGTCTGAATTTGCAAGATATAAACATCTTCCACAGAGACTTAAAAATTCACTGGAAAGATATTTTGTCTTTAAATTTCTCATGTGCTATCCAGATAAAATGTATCTAATTTGGGCTCTTCTAATCCAGTGTATATCAAGATTCAATCCTATACAACAAGATAAATGAAAATATTGCTTATAAGAGCCTCCAACTGAACCACAACTAGTGATAAATACTAAAGGGTAATTTACAAACAGTGCACAAGCTGCTATTCAAATATACATGCAAGACTTACAAAAGCTCCAAAAAATGCCACCTTCTGCAAAATAATCCAGTCTCAATAAGTACTCTCTGATCTACAGGAGTTTTTTCCCCTACAGTTTTCAGGAGTCCTCTCTTCTTAGGTGATTTGTTCGGAGCAACATCACAGATCTTCCCTCCACTTCGCTTGTCTGCGGGATTGTTCTACACTCGGATCATTTTGTTAGTCTGAGGATGTGCACTAGAACATTAACTTGACTAATATAATAATTAAGAACTATCCTAGAAGCAGGAGTAACAGCAGCAGCTATTCCCGAGAGTGTATCAAAGCTCTTTACAAGAATCCCAGATTTTTTTTTCTTCAAATTACATTTAGCAATGGACACTCCTTTCCAGATTTCCTCTTCACAGATACAACTGACTTTCCCAGGCTGAATGTTTTTGTGGTTCAGCTGTACACATCACTTAATGTGAAAGTTTGTAGAGATCTTTTCTGAGATCGTTCATCTTTGCAGTCGCTGTTAGTGAGGTTATAATAAAGATCTACATACTATCTAAAGAAGAGTTGGATTACAAACAGAGTTGATGAACTTCG